ATATAAAAATTATCAAATTTTGTTCTACATGTTTGTCTTAGATCTTAGAAAAGTTTGCCATGGAATTTTGAGAGTTATTGCCATTCACTGCTTTACTAAAATGATGTAAACATGTAAACCAATTACCAAATAGGGCATCCTATATGAGAATATGATAGTTTTCATTCATGACAAGAATTTGAGATTATTGGCCTTATGGGAATTTGAGATTGATGGTGGTTCATGAAATTAATCAAATTCATGTCCACTTTGTGTATTAAGTAGAAAATTTGAGTGTGTTTGGTATCATTTTATTTTCTTTTTTTATATGATTGGATGCTATTTAATTTTTGTGCAGTTTTAGCTATGAAATTAAATGGTTACAAAATTCCCAACTTTCACTTTTAACAACGAAATGTGTGGTAGAGAAAGTCATTTGTCTTCTAGCGACCAAACATAATTGTGGTTAATGCCATTATTTTGTTTTTTGCGATCAAATTGGAACATCTTGTGACGAATTATTAGCGACTAAATGTTTAGTTATGCAAAATTAAAACATTTTGTTACCATATAAATTTCGACGCTAATTGCCATTTTCAGCGACACTTTTGAAAATTCGTCACTAAAAATTAATATTGACTTTCTTGAATGCACTTTTAGTGACAAATTTATTTTTGTCATTAAAAGTATTTAGAGACCAAAATAATAGTTTTATGGACCAAAATAATTGGCCACCAAAATTCTTATATGTTGTTGTGGTTAGGGGTGGGCAGTGGATCTTTCGACCAGCCCAGCCCACCCAGCCCGAAGAGTTTTGGATGGTTGGGTGGTAGTGAGCGGGCGGATGCGAATCAAAAAGTATGAATTTCATGGGTGGCGGATGAACCACTCTTGAACCACCTATACCCAACCCGTCCGTATATATATACATATGTAATTTTTTTCCCTCTCTGTCAGCGGGCGATGACGATGGCAGCGAGCCTTATAGATCTCAATCTTCAAACACTGTAGCGATCCCGGTTTCGACACTTCTTTCATGTTTTGCCACTTCGACTGGGCAGGTCGGGGATCGAGCTGCTCGGTCAGCTCGCGGGGTTCGAAAGGTAGTGCCCCCGTAGTAAAAATGCAAAATGCATTCGAAGTTGCTTGTTCGCTCGAGCGGCCGTTTATGTGCTCGAGAGGAGAATGTTTGGTTCCAGAAGTTTGACCTGTCTACAAAAGTACTAGGAAGGTGTATTCGACGCTCAAGCAGGGCTTTCCACGCTCGAGCGGACGATGTTATATCGGTTCGTGAATCTGATATTTCATATCACTTTTGTATATGTCTCTCTCTAAAAACATTTCCTCTCCCTTTTCTCTACAATTCCCTACGCCAAATTGGATCAAAACCTTGATTTCTCAAGATCCATTAGAGTTCTGCCATAGGTTCTTCATCAAAGTTGGTTAACTTCTAGAGGGCTTCGTTGTGTGCGGTGAAGATCGAGTTTCGACATCGTTGATTTTGGGGGTTTCATCTCACTTCTTCTTCAAAACTTGAGGTAGGGATTTTCTTAGAGTTATATATATATTTTTGCAAGATCTAGATGATTTTCGAAATCATCCTTCGATAGCTTTGAAAATTGATTGTTAATTCAAGAAGTTGAGCGATTTTGAAGGTGGGTTTGTCTCTTGTTCTTTTAAAATGATCTTATGGGTTTTGATCTTCGTTGATTGAAGAAAAGATGATTTTGGAAAGTTTTCTTTCAAAAGATTTGAGTTGTATAGTTTTGGTGAGAAAACCTAGAATTTGGGAATTTTTTTTAAAGAGACTGAAAATTCATGAATGATATTGTTATATTTATTTTGTGTGTCAAAATAAATAGATGTTTGGAAAATTTCTTATTTATGTGAATTTCAGGGAATATAAGAATTGTTGTTCATTTTGGAAATTACTATTCAAAAGGTTGAAATAGTCTTGAAATGACTAATTGTTGAGAATACTTGAGAAGGAGGAATTGTGTTATTCCTTGGATGATGAATTGGAATAAAAGTATTTATATTCATCTTGTGTTATTGGCATATCAATTCATTTGATTACATTAAACTTTGAAAGTTGATTTGAAAACTTGCATTGAGAAAAGAATGTTGAGAAACAAGTTTCCATAAATTGGTTTTGGGGTAAATACGGTGGTAAGTCTTGACATGAGGTGTAGATGAAATTGAATAGGTGTCGAACCTTCCAGTTAATACTGGTAAAAGTGACAGATTATAGGTGTCGAGCCTTCTAGTCAATGCTGGTAAAAATGACAAATTGGTAGTACTTGTATAATCTACTTGCAGACACCAACCTAGGGATTACCAGAGTCGTATTTATCACTCTTGAAATGAATTATTAAGTTTTGAAGAATTGAAATTGCATGACATCATTGAGAATGATGGTTTTCAAAGATGAAGATGCAATTTTCTTTCAAAAGGGCATAGCATGACATATGCATTTTATCTCTTGAGACTTGTATAAAATGTATATACCTTGTTAAGGATTTCCTACTGGGTTTTATACTCACCCTACGGGATTTTTGTATAGGAAAAGATGTGGTGATGCCGCCTAACTAGAGGCGAGGAAATGTGTGTTGAGAGTACGAGACTCTCATTTTGCTTTGACTCTGTGTGTAAGCCAAGGGCTGTATGTGTGTGGGTTTGAATAATCGTTTTGTATAACCAGGCTCAAGTCTTGGAAACTTGTAAACCCTTGGGGGTATTTATTTATTTATTTACTTGTTGTTGGATTAATGTATTGTTGCATGAAGAACTATTGTATCATGTAATGTAAGTTTAGAGATTTATATGCGGTTTTCCTTGAAAGAGCCTGATTGTTGTATTATCATTTAGGCTAGAAATTTGGGGCGTTACAAACATTAAGGCTTTTGAACTAGTTTGTCAAATTGGGTTTTGTTGAGATTGAAAGAAATTGCTGGAAAACAAGGGATATGATCTTCGAGTTGTGAATTAGAGGGATTGAGGGGATTTGGGAACCCAAGTTCTTAAGCTTGATTTTGCAAAAACATGGTGATGATGAAGGATGAACGCCGGAGAAAATGGGTCTCGAGGCCACAAGAAGCTTCACTGCTAAACCTTCGACGACGATTCACATGAAATGACATGGGTCCATGACTACTATGCCCTTTACTGCGGTCTCGATTGAGAATTAGATTTTCTCAATCTCTCTCTCCTTGTTGAATGGTTGAAGAGGGAAGAGAAGAGATGGTGATTTGATATAAGAGTGAGAATATATAGAGAAAGAAAATTTGTAGAGCGACAATGGTAGTTTTTGGTTTTGGTGCTTCTATCAAGCATTGGAATAGCTGCTGCCATCACATGGGGTGTGTTTGAATTGTTAGCTAGTAGCACGTGGTTCTAATGGTACATCAAATCTCTTGCATAGCTTGTTGTGTGGGCTTTAATGGGGGTAAGTGTTTATTTATTAAGTTTAGTCTCAATGGAGGGCCCATTTGGACCTATGTTTTAAAGTGAGCAATGAGCCTATTTAGAATTTTGGTGCACGCTTCATGGCCACACTTGCAGGGCTACTAGCTTTTCAAGGGTGGGCTTTAAAATTATATGTTGGATTAATGTATCAAGGCCTCGATTTTCGTAAAGTTAGATAGATTGGATTCTTAAAATGTTTGTAAAATACAGATTTGATTGTTATTCTAAAAGAAAAAATAAATAAATTATGTCAACGGGTTTTATTATGTTAAAAATTTGTAAAATTTTAAACCGTCAAATCGATTCGCATTCATCTGCCAATTTGCATTTGCTATATTGCGAATAGATGCGGATTGATTTTCTCCAATCCACCAATCCAGCGGACGGATAGTGAATTGAATGTTTTGTGACCGCAACATATCTGCGCCCACCCATAGTTATGGTGGTTTTAGACACTTTGCACTTTGACTCTACCATCGTCAAGTCCATTTAATCTAACGTAAAGTGTGCCTCATATGCATAATTGAGAGTTGGCATGGAAAAAAAATTCAAAGTAAAGTAAAAATATAATGCAAAATGACAAATATGCCCTTATTATTATCTTCTTTCCCAAACTAATATGAAAACCCTAATCCTAACCATTCCTCCTGTTAAAAAAAATAATATATATATATATATATATATATATGTGTGTGTGTGTTTATATCTATTAAGTTAGAAATCTACATTATATATATAAAGTTATATATATCTATCAATTTTTAAAATGTAATATTTACTTTAAGATCTTTGTGCAAATTTAAAGGCTAGGTGAAGGACATCCGTAAATCATTATCCATTTCATTTGCATTCCTACTGTTTCCACAGTCCCTATACCTTTATTGGTTGAGCTGCTTCCACTATGAGCCATTCAGCCTTGATTTCTATGAGCTTACCTTCTCCTTTTCGGATAAGAATTTCTACATGCCAGTCTCATATATTCATTCCATCCATTGGATACATGTAAGTATATATACACATATGTATAACAGAGCAGAGAGATAGAGAATGAAAATGAAGAAGATAAATGGGCATTAACATCATTTTACATTTATCATTAACGATGTCAGCATTGCACTTTAGTCTCAAACTCATGGGAGATTTTTGGCTATTTTTAAATATGAGGGGTAAAGTGGTCTAAGGCAATATCACAAGGGAATAAAATAGATTTTACCCATATTTAAATAAAGAACTAACATTCTTATTGGGACTAGAATTCATAAGAAAGAAAATTACTTTATAGATGGGATCAAATATTCACTATTTATAGATAAAACATTAATTTATTGTTAATTTGGTGTATTTAGTGAAACATTTTTAAAACTCGCGGTTAATAAATCATAATGCATATTTGAATGAATACTGAGTTTGAAATGGGGAAAGACTGAATATTTTAACTTTGAAGAGTGGGAAAGAAAAAGAGAGTGAAAGATTGAGTGTAACAAACTAGGTTGTGGATGCAAACAAACAAAGCTAACATAAAAATAAATGTTTTTTTAATTAATTCTTTAGGTTGACTGACGGTGTCAACTGCCACCATTCCTTACTATTCCTTATAACTTGGCGCTGCATTTGCAACGAAATAAAACTTCACATATCATTACCTAATACCTAGTGTAACTCCAACTTATCAATGCACTTGACATATTTGTGTATATATACACTAACTAGTGTTCACACATCACTACTTCAAAATCCCCAAAATCTTTGGGAAATCCATACATTTCGAAGCGTTCAAAAGGGATTCAAAGTAGCTCTTCCCAGTTCCCTCAATTCTGATTAGTTGGAAAAAGTGTTCCAAGTAGAGGGAAACCTGTTAGAATTTATGACCGGCATGTTGCTGACGTTCACGTCAAGTGGCAACATGCGGTATTCAATATCGAGCTCCCTGAATGCTTTGATCATCTCCTCAACTAAAAGAGCTCTCCTCATCCACCGCTCAACTATGTCTTGATAATTCATTCGGTGCGAAAGCCACACTGAGATTCTCAACCTGTTCATGTCCTCCACATCCCTCAATATTATGAATGGACCCGGGTACCAATGCTCGCTCTTGTTTGTAATGTACCTGCACAATTGTAGCAGTCATAATAGATAGAACATCAATCAATCACTTTTGGTAAATTACATGATCAACCAGTTGTAAATAAATAACACACCAGTGAAATTCTGTAGTTCTAGAAAAAAAAAATGTGCACACAAACACATGGCGACTGTGCATGCCACCGGAGACATATCACACAAAACCCATTTCTGACAAAAACCAGTACTCATTCATGATGTTAAATGTAGCCTAGCGGGTGTGATTTAGGCTTAACTCTGCAAGATCTGTTGGTTCTTTTAGCTGCAGCTTATACGTTTTCTTATTTTTGAAAACTCGTCACTTTTTCTTTTCTTTTCTTTTCTTTTTATTTTAAAATTTCAATTCAAATATTTTTACTTTTTAAGTTTGTATAGATAGACTGTACTATCATAAAAAACTTTAAATTTTTCTTCGTTTAGGAAAGAAAATCCAATGAAGACATATAAGTTAAATTTTTGGACTTTTTTTGACAAAATTTGGTTTATTTTCGTCATTAATAAATTTATTTCAATTTGTTATTATTATTATTATTTTTTATTTTTAGGATCATCTAGTGCATACAGTGTTGTACAAAAGCAATTCTTCTGACCTTGATGCCTAGAATTAAAGGAAATGTATATCCATACATACCGTGTTATTCTCTCTTTCATCATAGTAATCTTTTCCATGGGAGTTGCGATGTGGATACAAAAATCGACTGCATCTCCCATGTCTGGACTACGGTAGTAATTGCTTATGGGCTTGGTAGCAAGAACACTGTTTGGATATATAACCTTTTGGTTATCGAACTTGAGAAAAATGGTAGTTAGTATATTCATCTCTTCAACCACCATCTGAGACACAGAGAGCTGGAATTTACAACCTCGAAACACTTCTTTTCATGCCAGCATACCAAAGAAAAAAAACACAGCTTTAAAACTAAGACTCTGTTTGGTTTGAGTTTTTCAAAATTTGTTTTAAAACCTCCACTGAAAAAGGGTTTTCAAAACTTCAAAATGTGATTGGTTTCAAGTTCTCATATATATATATATATATATATTTGAAAAACTCGGTTGCTTGAGTATTTGAAAACAGTTTCTTCAAACTTGAACAGAGTATTAAGTTTTCAAAACCCGAGTTCAAAAGCTAAGATTATGATTACCTGAACACCGTCCACTTCACAACGATCACCAACATCAAATGGGTGCATTACAAATAAGAAGATAATTGCCTCAAATGTCGTCTTGCATGTGTTTCCAAACATAAACACAACCAAAAGAAGTTGGGAGCCTAGAAAGACAAAAAAATTGGTATCTGTGATTTTGAGTATAAGAAGCCAGATAACCAATAGGATGATTCCGACAGCAACGTTCAACATCTGGTGGAGCTTGTTCACAGCTGTTTTTGTATCGTCGAGGGACAATGAAAGCGCTCGTCGTTCTCTGAATGCATTAACCTGGGAGGGTAAAATAAAAATTGCATTTGTCTCATATTCACATCAAGCACAACTCCTAAAGAAATAACATTTTGATGTTTCGAGTTTTTTCACTTTGTATGATTATCCGATTTTCAAAAAATGACTAAAATAGTAAAAAAATAAATTTTCAATTTCAAAAACAAAAAGAGTCTTCTGTTTCAGAAATACTATCTTACAATCATCTTTGACTCATCATGAGAAGGAAGCAGATGATAACTTTATACTAAGATTGTGATTTTGTGTTGATAAACTTAAAAAATAAAAACAAAATAAATAAAAATTGCCATGTTGTTCAGACCTGAAATTTAATCAAGGGTGCTTGTTAAAATAATTGTTAATGAAGTAAACTGGCCATGAAATGAGCTGATCTTACCCTACTCGTTAGATACAGAACGTGACCTTTTATTTAATTAATTTGTTTTTTTTAGAACATGTCAATTAGTTCTTTTTCCCCTCTTTCTAGTGCTTATGATTAATATTGAATTTCCTTAGATTATAATGATCTAATGATGCATTGGATGATAAATCATTCTTCCTAAGTTTAACATTTATCCACTTCTTTTTTTTTTTTTTTGCATGGATGATTTATTAATTATTTAAATCTAATGCTTTTTTATATATTAAATTAGTATTAACTTTCATTAATTTTAATTATTTGTGAACATAATATTAATCTATAGAAAATAAAAAGATATAACAAAATACTTTTTAATTGCCGTGTCCAGGTCCATATTCTCATTTTTTTTGAAACTACTGTGTTCCAAGTCCATGTCTATGCCCGTGCTACTTAAACTTCCAACTAGAACGGGAAGTAATGCAAGGAGAAAAATAAGATCACATTTGCCGAGCAAGGATCCTCTAGAGTGATTTTTTCCTAAAGTTTTCTAAAGTGCTACAGTGTATGGTGGAGATTTATTGGCAAGTCACATCAATTTTTTTGATGTGACTTGCCAGTAAATCTCAACCACACAATATACCACTCTAGGAAACTTTAGGAAAATTTCACTCTAGAGGATCCTTGGTGCACATTTGCCCCCCAAAGTCGTGCCTGAGTCCATGTTCTCATTTTTTTTTTATATATAAAATCAAGTGTGTCCAAATCCGTGTATGTGTTCGTTCTTCTTGAACTACCAACTAGGATGAGTAGTAATGTATGGGAAAAGTAAAAGATCACAATTACCACCCAATTCTTCAGACCTCGCTTGCTGATTCTCTTGCCTTCACTTGCTCCTTCAAAGAAGCTCATCGTCTTCAAAGCCTCATCATCTCTCAAGAACCGCATCAGATCCTCCAGATAGATGTATCTGATAACAAAAGACAAACCATTCAGGCTTGGCAAAATCAACACGAACCAACAAGATGTCAAGATTTAGACAGTGAGTTCATGGATATGGTGATCCAATTTTGGCAGCAAGATTGAATTATCAATGAATTTGTGGTTTTAAAAATTACTCTTTTGCTCTGTTCAACCCAATAGTACACGTCCTTCTCATGCACACAGAAACTTATATAAACCGAACAATTGAATTTGGTTTTGAGTACTAATCGACATTCTATATGAATGTAAGCCATGAATGAACAGAAAATGAAATCATAAATCAATCAATCACGCGAAGAAAGCTCTGAGACATGTTATGAGAAAAGAGATAATGCATACTTAGACCCCGGCTTGGCCACATTGTAGAATATCATCTTGGCTGCAGCTTTTGCTTGGTATTCGCTTGTGATCGGCACTGCGGACTCGTCCTCCTCCGCAGTCGAATCTTGGATTTGCTCATCCAAAGTCGACAAGAACCCTTTCCGAACAATATTCATCAACCTCTTCATATTCCAAGCCGAAATATTCTTCTGATTGAGCCTATGCAAATGATCAATGGTGATGCCTTCATCAAGCTTCTGCGAAACCGCGGTGGAAAACCTAGGACTTTTCGCTGCCTTGGGGCTCTTCTGGTATCTCCCACTCCTCGGGAACACGTTGGCTCTCAAGTCAGCGGGCATTGTAGCCCCCGCGTTCTGAAGTTTCTGGACCTCGGCCATGACTCTCTCCTCCTCTTCCTTTTCGTTTCGAATCTCAATCAATGGAGGTCCGGACAATGTCTCAATCACATACTGGTTGAACAAAGATTCCTGAATTCGATCAAAGAACGTGCTGACGTGGAACGACGAAGCGAGAACTTTAACAAGAAGGGTTTTGAGAAGCCAAATGAATGTACCAACTAAGAGACAAACCCAAATTCTAGTTATGTAAGGCAAGATTTTCCCGTTAGTCATAGTCTCAACTTTCTTGTCAAAAATGCATTGCCAAGCAATCAAAACCAGACACAACCAAATGCAATTCTGAACAGCATTTCGAATTCCATACACGAAATACAAAACCCGTTTTCGCAACATGAAATTGCGCTCGATGAAGAAGACAACGATCCGAATCGCCCAACCAGATACCAACCGACCCGAGATGAGAACCAAAACCATGAGTTCCCATTTCCAGAGTTGTAATTCAAACAATCTTTTAGTCCTGAGTCTTGGAATTGAGAGACTACAAACTAAAGAAGCTATGATCAAAACCAAACTCACTAATTGAATCAGAGACACCACATTGAATTTAAATTTCTTGTACTCTTCAGGCAAATCTTCATCCAAAAATGGGTCGTCCTCATCGATTTCACTACCTCTCCCCAACATTCCAGATTTAATCAACCTCGGAGTCTCAGGTGGGTCTAACAACCTAGACTTCGTTTTCGACATCAACAAACTCGATTTTCTTCGAAACGACGAATTCGAACTGCAAACCAAAACCTCATCAATGCCACCGCCGCCACCGTTGGACCGGCGCTGAACCGGTTCGGACACACCTTCACTCTCTTTGATTCTCGACAACCCAATTTGCGAAGATTCATCCACAAAATCCAAGTCGTTAGAAACCTTAATGTTTGTCGAATCGTTTGAGAAATCGTAGCTACAGTCTCTCCAAATTCGATTACCAGTACTACTAGTCTCTGAGTCGATGGGCTGTGATGGGAAGTGGGTTTCTCTGGGGCAATCTTGGCCGTTGATTTTGACAATTACTTGTTCTATTTGATTGGTCTCTGCCATTGGATCGTCTTGTAAGAGGACAAGCTGTTCTTCGGGAGGTGGGTTGTTTTGGAGGGGTTGATGATCAGAGAGTGATTTGAAGGACTTTCTCACTAGTTTGTCCATCTAAACTAAACAACACAACTCTGAGATTGATAGTCAAACATATAAAATAAAAATTAAAAAATGAGTTTAGATGACTCAGGTGATAATAAATAATAGGTTTTTTCTTCCTTTTTTTTCTTCTTCTTTGGGAAGGTAGATGTAAATGAGCAGTTGTTTAAACTTAAAGATCGCCATTAATGAGAGGAGAGGTGTGGATTGGGTTGGTAACAGACGACCAGAAAAAGGAAACAGAGAAAAGGTTGTCTGTTTTAATGATGTTGGAAATCGAAACCGTCCAATTGAAAATAAAAGGAAAAAAAAGAAAAAGAAAAGAAGTTGTGTGGGTTTGATTTGAGTTTTTTTATTAAGTTTTTTGAAAATTAAAATTTTTATTTTTCATGTTTTTTTATTTTTAGTGAATATCTTAAAATTTTAAGTAATTTTTTTTTATACTTTTTTAGATATATTTAAAAAGTAAAAAATTTATGAAAAAATATTTTAAAAAATTAATAAATACATAAAAATATAAAAGATATATTTCTCTCTTTTTTTCTTTTCTTTTTTTTTTTGTATTTTTGATATTTACTGAATTTTAAAAGATTTTTTTACAAAAATTATACTTTTTATGTGTATTTATGTTAAGCGTGTCTAAAAATTTAAAAAATATTTAAAAAATTTAGTAAAAATAAAATAAAAAAAACAAAAAATAAGAAAGTAAAATTTTCTGAAAAGTATTTTTGAAAAACCAAAAACAAGCAAGTTTTTTCCCCCGAAGACCTCTAAATTATTAAAAAAATATTATTTTAATCCTTTAAATTATAAAATTTATAAATGAATCTCTAAATTATTAAAAAGTATTATTTTGTATTTTCAATTTAAAAATGAACAAATGAACTTTTTATTATAAAAAATATAAAATTAGACCCCTAATAGAAAATGGTCAAATAAAACATATTAATAGTTTAAGAGATCTATTAATACATTTTTAGGTCATGTTTGTTTATCGAGCGTAGCTGGCTGGATTGGATTGATTCGGTTGTGGATCCCATTCACAGCTTGTTTGGTGTTGATTTGGGGGGGCAATTGATAAGTGTGGGGGAATAGTAATTTCCCTCAATAGGGAGATTAGCTTGGCTGAATTTTTGGCAGAATTAGAAAAATAGAAATAGATTGAGTCTATTTTATATAAAAAATTTATTTTTTTAATTTTATTTTTTTTACCAAGTGCATCTATTTGTTTTAGTTTTTTTAAATAGAAATAATTTATTTATTATTTTTATATAAATAATAATAATTATTAATAATATTACTAACACTCTCCCACATATCATCAAAAACAACACACTTTTATTTAATCCATTTACTACAATCTATATTAATAATCTCTTCACTAACCATTCTCTTACTAACAATTCCATTCAATCTAATTCGCTAAAACAGTGTGACATATAGTTTAGGGGGTAAAGTGATGTTTAATAGTTGAGGATCCATTTGTATGTTTTATTAATTCAGGTAATCAAAATGATACTTTTCAATAGTTTATAAATCTCTACGTAAATAGTCAAACAAATAATAATAACGAAAATAGAAAGCTACAATTCCTTCAAATATTTTATTAAACTCACATAGATTTAGACTACATGAGATCAACGTTGTGTTTGGTTTGAGAGATTTCTGGAGAGTTGTATTTTTC